CGGCAGCGATCTGCGCCTCGAGGCTCTCCATGCAACGCCGCATGTCGGGGCGCGCGGTTGGCTCTGCGTCCCAGCACGACTGCATGAGCGCGGCGAGCGCCGGCGGCATGCACGGCGGCAGCGGCGGCCGCGCGCCGTGCATCACGACCTGCGCAAACACCTCCGCAAAAGAGAGGCCCTCGAACGCCGCCGCGCCGGTCCACGCCTCCCAAATCAGGATGCCTGAGGCGGGGGCCGGGGCAAGGGCAGGGTGCGGTAGGGAGAGGGTGAGCGTGAAAGGCGGGGACAAAGGGGACAGATGCCGGCCGCCTGCTTGGCGACCACGGCGACAGGGGCCAAGGCCAGAACGGCGAGCGGCCAGGCTCCGGCCGCAGCCAGCACTCCCACCCCCTCGCTTGCCGGACCCTGTGGGCTCGGAGGGGTGGTGCAGGGGCGCCGCGCACCGAATGCATAGACATCGCCCCGCTGACTCAGCTTCCCCGCCAGCAGCAGCTCGGGCTGCGGTTGGGCGGCCGCAGGAAGAGATGAAATCAATCAGAGGCAATTCTATCAAAAAGCGCCAAAGGGCGCAGCATGTGAGGCTGCGTGGACTCTCGAGGGAAGTGGGAGTGAGGCCAGCAACCTGGGGTGCGCATGCAGCCCCCCCTCCCACTGCCCTGGGTTGTTGAAATGCCCGTCCTCCCACGCCCCGATCACATCAGCTGCGCCCCGCAATCGATGCGCGATGCCCGGCTGCCGCTGCCGCGACGCCCGTCCCGCGGCAGCGGCGGCGGCCGCGGCTACGGCGGGGGCCGGCGCTCACGGGCATGTGCGTGATCGTCCCCACGGTGCGCGTAGACGCGTGTGTCTGGCCGACGCCCAGGGCTCGGCTGAGGCCAAAGTCTGACACCTTGGCTGCGACCCCCAACGGCGACGCGTGGTCGGCGGCCAGCAGAACGTTGCCCGCCTGGCGCAACACGGCAGGTGCGGTGGTGGTGGTAGGGGGGCGGATTTAGTTGGTGCTTCTTCAGCCCCGTCGGCGCAGCTGGAGTGGAGACGTTGCGACCAGGTTGTGCAGGCAGGTACCGCGTGAGCCAGGATTCTACACCTCTGGCGGGGCGCGTAATGCACAGTCTGGCGGCGGCGAGCCCGAGCCGCCGATCGAGCAGCCTCAGCGCTGGCTGCAGGGCCTTGGATCAAACTTGTAAACCAAACGCCGTCCACGCGTTGCTCCTGGCTCACCTTGAGGTCTGCGTGCATCACGTTCTTGCTGTGCAGGTATGTCAGGCCGGCCGCCACGTCCCTCAACAAGTGCAGCACCCTCGCCTGCGGTTTCCGCGTGTGTGTGCATGTGTATGAGAGGTGTTTGCGCGTGTCGTTGTGTGAGACGTATGCTTGCGTGTATGTATGTGTGTGTTCGCGGGTGTGAGGTGACCGTCGGTGCACGCATTTGAGACTGCATGTGAGTTGAACGGGGGCGTGCGTGCGTGCACCTCGCATGTCTACACACCAGTCTCCACTGCGCACACGCCGCCTGGGTGGGGCCAACGCGCGCTGCGCAGGCAGCCATTTTACGCCATGCCCCCGCACGTGTGCGCCGCGGGCCGCGCCCTCCGCGTCGCCTCAGCAGCGCACCTCGTCAGTGGAGCCGTCTGGCCGCTTCAGCAGCCCGCTCATCGCCGCGCGCTCCAGGTCCCCGCACTCGCAGTACTCGGTTATGAGCCTGCGGCACGCGGCGCGGCGCGCAGCGCAGAGCCTGGTGAGGACGCGCTCGCTGCATGCAAGGCGGCGGCGCGACGCCAACAACAGCAGGCCCTAGCGCATGTGGGGATGATCGCGACGCCTGCTGGCCTGCCCCCCTCTTATCGACACGCCATGTCAGCGTGCGCAACTGTGCATGTGTGTGTTTGCGCGTGCGCGCTCACCACGTCTCCGAGCCCGCCTGCACCGCGACCGCGCCGCCCAGCGACGCCGCCGCCGCCGAACTCCCCTGCCACTCGCTGCGGATCGTGTACAGCGGCATCCGCTCGGACGGGCCCCGGTCCAGCTCCCCCGAGCTCTCCGCCGGCCCCGCCGCGCCGCCGCCGCCGCCCCCACTCGCGCCCGCGCCCGCCCCCACGGCCCCGCCCGCACCCCCGCCGGCGCCGCCGTTCACGCGGAACAGGTCCCGCAGCTCCTCTGTCGTCACTAGCATGGGGGCGCCGCCGTTTGGCGTGGCGTTGGTGGCGGCCGAGCCGCCGGTCCCCAGCCGCAGCACCCACTCAGAGTCCGCCGTGCTGCCCCGCCCCTCCCCGGGCTCGGACGCCGCCGGCAGCTGCCCCGACGCGCCGCCGCCGGGCGTGCTGCACGCGCCGCTGGCCGCGCCGCGCGGGGTCGGCAGCTGCGCGGAAGCCGCGCGGGGCGCGGCGGGCGGGTGGCCGGAGCCGAGCCAGCCGCTGCCCTGTGGGCGGGGGTAGGGAACAGAGGGTGCTTTTGCTGGGGCTTAAGGACGGGAATCACCATCCGAATTAGGTGTTGAGAAGGACCTTGCGACTCAAATTAGCGGGCCGCGATGAAGCGACCAGCAAGGGTGTGTCGGCCGCGCGCGCGCCGGGGGTGGGGCGCACCGTCTGGGCGGCGCCGTCGTCGGACGCCCTGAGGTTGCACCACTGAACCACATGGTACGCCTGGGGGCGCGGCAGCGCCGGATTCGATGCATGCACACGCACGCGTTTGCGTGATTTGTGGGTCCATGTGTGTGCATGTGATGGTGCGTGTGCGCGTGACCAGCATGCCGTTTGTATCAGGTGGGTGTTGGCACAGCGAGGTCAGACACGGCAGCCCGATCTATGCATAGGCCGTGAGCCCTCAACCTGCGGCAACTCTTGAACTCCTCGCGCGCTCAGCCCCGAAGCGGGGGCGCCCGCGGGGCCCCGCCGCGGGCGGGGTCGGGCGGGGCTGGTGGCTGCTGGCGTGGGACGCGGTCACTTGTGTGTACCCTGCCACACACCTTGAGCACGTTTGGGTGTTCGAACCCGAGGATCAGGTTGGCCTCATTCGCCGATGTGGTCGAGCCGTGGCGGTGGCAGATGGCCTTCACGGCCACGGGCCGCCCCTGCCAGCGCGCGCTGTACACCTGCGGGGCGACGGCGGCAGTGGCAGCAGCGGCGGCGGCAGCAGGGAGGTGTGGGGCCCGCAGCACGTCGGGATGTTGGTGTCAGCAGGGCGGGGGGCGGCCGCGGCTGGGGCAAGGGGCGCGCGGCCGCGGCGGGGCCGGGGGCGCCTGCACGGCCCCGCAGCTCGCGCTGACGCGCGCGCGCGTCTTCAGCCTGGCCACGCGAGCGCCGCCGTCGGGGCGGCCCCTTAGCGCTCCCACCCCGCGCCCGCCCCGCGCACCGTGCCGAAGCTGCCGCGCCCGAGCATGTTGCCGAGCTCTATAGTGTCCTGCGGCGACGAGCTGTCCGCAAATTCTGGGGCTGACAGGAATCGCACCAGCTCCCAGCCCTCGCTCTTGGGGCGCATCTCCGCTAGCGGGCTGCGGCGGAGGGCGGCGGAAGATGGAGGGGCAGGCACGCGCGGCGGTTGGCGCGGACGCGGAGGGGCGTCACGACAGCGTGACACTGGGGTCACGAGAAAGCGCTCACTGCCGCATGCGTCAACGCCATCGCCGGGGCCCGCGGCATGCGGCGGCCACAAAACCAGCACGAAAGGCGCAGCGGATGGGGCGCGCCCGCGCGGCCGGCGGCTGCGCTCACCCGGCACGCCCCTCTGGCAGGCCGTCGCTCAGCGGCGCGGTGCTGCGCCTGCTCTTGGCCGCGCCCAGGTCATCCGACCCTATCTCCAGCGCCCGCTCCCGCCGCAGCCGCCGCCGCCGCCGTCGCAGTACCAGCCACAGCGCCGCGCCCGCCGCTGCGGCGCCGCCGACGGCGCCGACGGCCGCGCCGACCGCCACGCCCACGCCCGGCCCGCTCGCGCTGCTGCGTCCGCTTGCTCCAGCCCCGCCGCCGCCGCCCGCGTGGGCCCGCTGGTACTGGTCAGTGCTGAGCACCAGGCACTGATCCCGAGACAGGTCTCGCGCGCACGCCGCCGGCGCGATCTGGACGCAGGCGCGCGTGACATTGAGCAGAACCGCGTCGTAGCCCTCGTTGGTCGGGCCCACGTCCTGCGCGGACCCCTTCCAGCTGACTGCAAAGTTCATGAAAACGAGGTCGTTCGGGTGCTGCTCGCTGCAGCCGGCCGGGTTCAGCAGGCGCACGTCCTGCTGCCCCGGGAAGCGCGGCGGGCGCGGGTGCTTCGAGGAGACGCGGACCGAGTCCCCGGGGTCCAGGCCGACGGCGCGCCAGCGCACTGCGTTGCGGTTTATGAGGACGCTGCTGCCGCTGCCCATAAACAGGTCGATCGACACGCCCGACGCCATCCTGTTTTTGGTGGATGAAGGGGTTGTACGTGAGTCGGGGCACCCATGTACTGCAGGGCGAGTGCTGGGGGTCTTCGAGGGGTGCGCCCGCTGCCATGCAGTCGAAGAGGCCAACCGTCCCCTGCGCTGCCTAGCCGCAATGCTCGCAGCCGCGGCCACAAGAGAGCACGGCAGGACGCCGCGGGCCCCGCGCCGCACCTGGTGTTCGTCATAACCATGTCCGCGAGCGTCACTGTGACGTTCCTCCCTATCAAGATCTTGCTTGCCAGGAAGTTGAACGCCAAGGTGCGCCAGGTCCCCGGGACCGACGCGACGAGCAGGTCCCGGTCAAGGTGGTATGGGGCGTCGTCATATGCAGCAAAGTCCGCCGCCGTCAGGTTGACGTCCGACACCAGGTACATGGTGCGCACCGCCGGGTTGGTCAGCGCGTCCACAAAGGTGACGCAGGAGCCCGGGGGGGCGGCGCAGGGGCCGCCCGACTGTGCGGGCAACGGGGGCGGGTTTGGGGCCAGATGCGGGTTGGGGCATGGGGGCATGGGCACGCCAGCGGGTGGTGCAAGCGTGGGGCAGCCGTGGGCTTGGTGTACGGTGGGTCTGTCACAACATGTGTGCGCGTGTGCGAAGCAGGTCGCCGAGCCACCCACCTGTGAGACCCAGGCTGTGTCCAGCGGTGCAGCAAGCACCGCGCGCAGCCCGCTGTGACCGGTTGCCGCCGCCAGCAGCAGTGCCTGCAGCAGCGGCCATGCTAATCGCCGTTGAAATTGGCCTGTGCGCATGTCGTCTTCCCCACGCTGTTGGCTGGCGGGCCCTCGTAGATGGGTCTCGGCCGGGTCCTCCGAGCTCCCGCCCTTGCGCCCCCGCCCGAGGAAGCAGCCAGGACGTATCTAATGGCTATGTATTATCGGACACGCCACTCCATACGGCTGAAAGCGCTGGCGTGATCGGGCCTGAAATCAGTAGCCTGTGATGCACATGGTCCCCAAGCAAGGCATCATGTAGGTAACGCCGTGAAACAACTATTGACACTCGTGCAAGAAGTCCGCCGCTGCGGTGCACCCCATCACTCGTGTTGCATGATGACGGCCCACAACAGCGGCACCGTGAATCCCCCTGTCCTCCAATGCGGGCAGCTGCGGGCTGGCGAATCTCTACAGGGCCTGGACAATGAATAATGTGACATGTTATGCGACACTTCATAGCAACGTGGCATGCAGATAGGCTGGATTGCCCGAGTTCGTTGCCCTAGTGGCCAGCGGGCAGTGCTTCCTTCATGGTGCTCCCTAACCCATAGCTGCATGTGGAACCGGACGCAGCGGCAGCCCCAGCCTCAAGTAAACAGCTGTGTATTCAAAAGATACATTTTGGGCAAGTGCGGGCCGTCGTGGTGAGCAGCAGGCTCAGGATTCATCACTGTTTGCTGCATGAGCGTCATTTCAAATGGCCGCTGATTCCCTTGCACCCTGATCGTAACGGCTCCTTCTCTGCATTTATAGGATTTCAACTTGTCTAAATCAACTTCAACAGTATCAGCACCAAGTATTCTTGGCTCTGCGACCATATTGGGCATGCACCATCAGATCTGTGCTTTCCGTGAACATCAGCGACAGCGTGATCCTGTGCTCTTCAATGCGATGTCCGCGGTTTTTGCCTCTGATCATGCGTCATGTGCTTCAGCCGGCGGTTTCGACGCCGGGTGACAACACGGGTGTGACGATAACCCTGTTTGATAACGCTTGGGACATAAGCCTCGTGGTGCGAAACTGCTCAGGATTATATCGAGATGGTTTGCTCGCAATGTGGCGCCACAGAGCTAAAGGATACTGATACAAGTGTTTGAGGAGGTCACCTTCAGGAGGCCATGGGCTGGAACTGCAGCAGTCCAAGCGACGCAGGGAGACTGCAACACGGCGCTCCTGCGCTTGGCTGAAGCGGGCCTCACATGATGTTCGTCGCAGCTGTATCATCGGAACGATCTCTTTGGCCGCCGTGCTGACAGGCGTCAACATGGATCCGTGGCCAACGCTTACATTCTTGCACACACACACACACACACACACACACACACACACACACACACACACACACACACACACACACACACACACGCACACACACACACACACACACACACACACACA